AGGGCATGTGTACTTATGTTTGAAATGATGGCAGGAAGATCACCATTTGACATTGTTGGAAGCTCTGATAACCCTGATCAGAACACAGAGGATTATCTCTTTCAAGGTAAGCATCCACATGTGTAAAATATACTGGTTGGCAAGCTTTTTTTACTACTTTAAAAAAACAAAACAAGCCCCCCAACTCACAAAATTCTGACTCCCTAATTTTTTTTCTTTACAGTTATTTTGGAAAAGCAAATACGTATTCCACGATCCCTCTCTGTTAAAGCAGCAAGCGTTCTAAAAAGTTTTCTTAACAAGGTAAGATCTAGAACCATATACTTCAGTTGAGAGCAAGGGAAAAACGGGGGTGTTTTGAGGGTTTTTTCCCCACTTTTAATTGGTATGTAGCTGACATCAAAATAGCCCTCTGGTAGAAGTCTGGTAAACAGAGCCTGAGCCTGGAAAGGATAGGTCCAAAACAAAACTCTTACAACTAAAAACCCATGGCACCAATGTGTCACTCTGTTTTTGAAACCTGAAACTTTGCAGATACTCAACCCAAAATAAGAAGCTTAGAAATGCACTAAATATATCTATTTATCATTTTCCCTGAAGTTTCTTTCTACATTTAAATCATTCTTAATTATCCCATATTTCATCATCTGCTAGATGGTTGATGGAAGAAGTAATGGGATTCTTCTAACAACTGTATTTCAAAGCAGAACATTTTACTGGTGATCCTTTTTTAAAAAGCCAGTTAAATTATTTTTGAACAAAGATTACTCCCTCTACCTAATTTGCGTGCTGTATTAGTTTAACTGTTCTCTTTGGCTTTTAAATTACTTTGAATCTAGTCTTAGATGCACAATTTCAGTGTTGTATACAAAACTGACGTAAACAGTCTACTGCCCATGTATCCCCACTTGTTTTTATAGTATTGAAATTTCAGCTCTCACTTTGCTGCACCTGAATGAGAGCTAACCTGTAGATACTTATGAATAGGCTAGGTTTGTTAGGCTTTCTCCATTTTTAATTTTAGAACATAACCAGCTTATTTTGGGCCATGAACTATGTCATGTACCTTTTTCCTTTTAATTTCTACAAGATAGCGTAACACAAGAAATGATACACTTTCTACTTTCCTCTATTTACAACAAAACCTGTAATGAGTACTATCTTATGCATTTGGTCTCTGGCACCCATTTGCAAAATGATTTGACACTTTAAAACATTCTGTCTTGCATAGGATCCAAAAGAACGTTTAGGCTGCCATCCTCAGACAGGATTTGCAGATATTCAGGGACATCCATTCTTCCGCAATGTTGACTGGGATCTGGTACGTAAATGTTTGAGTTTTCTGTTTGTACAGTTCAGATGTGAGAGCTTGTCTTTGCTGAAACAAAGCAGGGTCAGCACTTTATAGCCAGAGACATTTTTAAATAGTAAATTTACATATGATAGGGAAATGATAGAGAGGAATATGCAGGGAAATAATAGAGAGGAATATGCAGATTCCATAAGCCCTTCTTACATTTAGTAACCATAGACATGTACTGCAGTAAATTAGTGGATTATTTGCCCAAAAAAAGGTAATTTAACAATAATCTTCAACCTTGTTTAAACAAAAGTGCTGTCTAATAGGTTGTAACTCTTGTAACTCATGTTTTTTATCTTGGAATAATTTTATTTCTAGATGGAACAAAAACAAGTGGTTCCTCCATTTAAACCAAATATATCAGGGGAGTTTGGTCTGGATAACTTTGATTCCCAATTCACTAATGAACCAGTGCAGCTCACTCCAGATGATGAGTAAGTATAAAATATATTAAAATGTTTTTGAAATTTTGAATTTGAGTTGCTAACTAATAAAGATGTGTATTTAATATGGGTAGCTATATCACACTTTCTAATGCTAGGGGCTAGGAATTCCATTCAGAGTGTGACTCTACACTTGCAAAATCTGGTCCATTTTTACCGAGATTCATAAAGGGGGCGGAAGAACCTTTAAGTATAGGAAAGATGCTCTGGAGGAGCTTGAAATGTGGAAAGAGTAAATAAGTTCTGCTTTAAAGTTTGAGTCTTGTGTATTTCCCCTTAGGAAACATTTGTCTAATACAAAAATACACATTTCCACATGATCTATTTTTATAAATTTTATTGCATCCAAATTTCAATGAACTTTCCTGGATTTTGAAGTCAAAGAACTTTCCTCATGAATCTACTGAGAATTTCTTGATAGGAAAGGATTTTTTTTTTTAACTGGCTAGTTTTCAGTGTAATGAAAAACCTTGTTAAGATGCAGTGTAATACATTTGAAAGTAACAATGTAGATGAGGCTTCCTACCACCAAAGCCTGAACTACAAAGGTAGGTCAAATTTAAATAAATTTAAAAAAATGAACAAACAAAACTTCGTCCTTCTACAGCTTGGCTGCATGAGACATCCTTAATATGGAACATACTAAGGATCTCTTACCCTTATTGGCAACTTCCTTGGTTGCTCCTATTCGATTGAGTGGCTGATCCTATTTCGATGCCAGGGGGAGGACCAGAAAATGGCAAGAGTGGACTGGGAAAATAGGGCTGATGTAGGGGGACAGAAGGGAGAGGGAGCAAGTTCCTAATGGCAGAGTGCTACAGAATGGGCATGTCTCCATGTGTGTTTACTGTGCAGTAAGCAGGTTTATGCCGGCATCTACACGTGTAGGCATTTAAAGCTCAGTAACACTGTGTGAGGACCAACTTGGGACTACGGTTAGTCCATGCACAACGTTACTGTACAGTAAGGCGTCTACATGTGTTACTGCACAGTAACTAAATTAGTGTAAATTTGATACCTGCTTCATGCAGGTATCAAATTTATGCCCAAGTCAGCATGAGTCACCATATTTGCTGCATAGTATATGTGTGCGCATGTGGATGCTGCCTGTACCGTGCAGCAATTTTCGGGTACTGTGCAGTAAATGTGCACGTATAGACATGCCCAGTATGTCCCCTTGAGACCAACTGTGTATGTTTTTTTGTTTTGTTTTTTTTTTTTAAAAACTGACATTTGTAGTTTAGTAATATTGTAAGTAGCAATGTTTTTGACTCAAGATAGTAACTAGTTTTTATTTTAACAGTGATATTGTGAAGAAAATTGACCAGTCGGAATTTGAAGGTTTTGAATATATCAATCCACTTTTGATGTCAGCTGAGGAATGTGTCTGATCTTCCTCTTCTAGACTGTGCCATTTGTTGTGTTTTATACTGTTTTCTGCATGGATAAGCAACTTGTTGTTTGGATGCACTTGCATAGAATGATTAACTGACTATTTTATCCGTGCCACTAACTGTGGTTTATTCACTGATTCTCAGCATTCATTGTTGCAGCCAGCTACTGTGCAGCACTTGCTCTGGGTTGCACAAAAATTTAAAATGTTTTCTCAACAATTTTGCCAAAGTTGAATTGTAATAAATAAGCTGGTATATAGGGTGCCTAAATGACGTAGTGAAGTTTGCTGTATAATCTGCTGATTGTGTAATGTAGCTATGTATTTTGAAGAAAAATAATGTTACTGCTTTGCAAGAGTGCATTTTGCATACAGTCACGTAATAAAATAGTACTAAATAGCTTCCATACTCTTGGCAAGATTAAGGTACTAACTCTGGTAACTTGTAAAATTCTACCCTTTCTCTTCCTTGCTTCCCCACCCCACCTCACCTTGTTTTTCCTGATCATTTCTAGATGACAGTGGAAGCTGAAGTGTTGTCCCTGTACACTCAAATAACACTAGGACAGCCGTTCTTTTAAACAGCAGTAGAACAAAAATGTAATTGCTTTCTTGGAATAGGAAACATTTGATTCATCCCAGGGGATGATCATAATAGAACTGGTAGATTACACTCCTCAGTTTATTTCTGACTGGTAACTAGGAATAACATTATAAAGCCTTTTGGTATGTGAAAAGCATGTGCCTTTCTGAGCCTGTCCTTTTCATCAAGGGTTATAGTATATAAAGTGTCAGCGTAAATGAGTAGAATAAGTTTATACTTGTAAAAATGGAAAAAAACTAGGATTACTAGTGGAAATGGGCAGCTAATATTGAGAATGTGGGACTTCATGTTATAGGGCACTTTTACACATGCTCCAGGTGTGGATGGTGCTGCTTTCATAATTAGAGTGGCTCTTGGAGCCTCTTTGATTAAAGTGTCGCAGTGTCCCGTGTATCAGCATCCTCACACTTCAAAATAGAGGCAAAGGCACTTGAACTAAAGCTCGTTCGACAAGCTTTAGTTCAAGTGCCCTACCACTATTTTGAAGTACAGGGACACTGATACATGAGACAGGCTGCTAGAGCACTGTAATTACCATGCTCCAGCAGACTCAATTTAATCAAGTCTGCTCCGACATGCTATAATTACAGGGCGTCAGAGTAGCCTCTGTGCTTGTGTACAAGCACCCATAATTCTTTAATTTTATAGATGCTCCTTTGGCAGATCAGAAATTGTTATCTTACAGCCTACATAAGGAGGAGAGTCTCATTGCCATCCTGCTTGAAAAACATTCCATTATGCCAGTAGAAAAAGGCATGTTTCTGTGTGTTACCCCAGTATCTAGAAAAGGAGTGCCCTCACGGTAGCTCTCTTACTCTTGTTCTGGATATATATTATTATAATATCACTACATATTGTAATCTCTAAATACTAAGAGTCTATAATGGACTCAGATGAACTAACTGACAAAGCAATTAGAAAATAGAGTAACTAAATGAGGTAACTTGCTTGAAGGTATAATTTTTTTGTCTGTCATGTTGATAGGTAATGTAATATATACTACAGAGATAGCTAAATTGTCAAACTATTTTGTTTGAATGTTTGAGGAATTTCTTTGGCTGAAGGGATGCCAAATCTGTTTTATTCTGGTTTTAACACTTTTTTTTTTTTTAAAGGAAAAGGGATTTTAGGAGAGAGGTAATCTATTTGTATTATGCAAGGAAAAGCTGTGAGCTAACATGCTAAGTATTAGTAAAAGCAGAATTATTAATGTTCTGCAAACAGAACTTAGCAAGAATCATCTGAAGTTTTAATAAGCTTTCCTATCTGCTGCTGAAAATTTATAGTGCACCAAGATTATCAGTTTACACCATCAAAATTGAAATACCTTCAAATATGTACTTTTTTTCCTGAACTGACTAGTTAGCTTCACAGAGAGCAATCAATACTACTTGGGGCCATAATACAGTACCTCGCTCAGACTTTTTTTCCCCACACGGTCTACTAAGAAATCTCTCTAGAGTTAGGAAGCTAAACTTTCAAAATAAACAAGTAATTTTTGGGAAGTGCTGAGCTCATCTTTTATGAAAATCAAGCTCCTTTTAAGGTCAAATGGGTTACTTGAGCTTTACTGTGACATTTCCATTTTGTCTTCAAGGGCAGCCAGTGATTGTAATATCTTTAGAACTGTATCTAGGCAGTACTTGCTTCACAAAAGGAATATCTGTGATAATCTTGATGTCTTTAGCCTCTGACTTCTAAAGTCAAGTCATCTCTGTATAGAAGCCAGGAATGTGCTGGTATTAAAAGGCTGCTGTCTTAAATGAATTAACTTGCCCTTGCAGAGGGGTATAACTTCATATAGGATATTCAATAAAATGTCTTTATATAGGCAAGTGCATTTTTGTTTTTCATTGTACACATTTAAGAATTAATGAATACTTTCATGTTTTGGGTTTTTTCCATTCTTGAAGCAAAATAAAAGGTTTGTTTTGAGGGGGGGCAGTTTACAGATAATGTTACAAAATATATATGCTACTTCTTTTTATGAATCTTAACTTATGGTTGGCCTTCTGTTTCAGTATCATTTAGTTAACACAAAATGTGATAAATATTTTTAAAAGTTGTCACCGCAAGGATTTTTTTTACTTTTTCATTTTTTTACAAGCTAAGTGCCATGGCATTAACTGTTAACATTGAATTGTTAGGTGTGTAGTGGCTGTTTTAATATTCAGCAGGGAAATTGTGCACAGACAGTCAAGTACAGTAGGTTCTTGTTTTTGAAAGAATTAACTATCTACATCAGGTGCATGATGTGCTTATGTTGAGTAAACCTCATTTTTGTATACAAACTGGGTGCTCTTGTTAATACTGTACTGTTTTGACGTGGAATAATGTCTTGGATATTGTTGTGTAATCATTCCCTGTATCTGTGCATACTTTTTACTTTTAAATCTTTAAATAAAGCATTTATACTAGGCCTCAGTATTAACAACAGTTTAATAACTTGAGATATTTTGGGGTTGTAGTCAGAGTCTCTCAATAGTTTATCCAAGGCTGTTCTGCAAAGTAGCCCTACAAGTCTGGTATTATATTTTACGCAGTGGCTGTAGATCTTGGGGGACCCTTCTGAAATATTTACCCAACAAAAGAATACAGGAACAAATTTGCTTCTGGAAAAAAAAGAAGCAAAACTGAGGGACAGTAGGGAGGATAACCATTATTTGACAGGCTCAGGGGACTAAAAAAAATTAGCTATTTGAAGTTGTATTCTTTTGTGTGTTAAACTAGATTGGAAAAAATATGAGAATTCTGAAATCACGTCATACAAACAGCTATGGAGATCTATTCTGTTGGAGCCAAACATGTTTAGTGCAAATAGATCTTCTATTCTGTATAGCTCTTCTCAGAAATGATGATTAAAAAAAGATAGCCTGACTTAAGGCTGCCAAATCACATTGTATTCAGCCCTGTTGTCTTGGATACACATCAAGGGCCTGACAGACATGTTTCTTTATACTAGAAGGAGAATGTCTTTTTTTTGTTTGTGTGTAGTGTTGTTACTGCAAGGCCCTTTTTCCCCTCAAAGTGAAGCACCCCAATGGCTTCTCAAAGATGAGGCTAAGCACTAGTAAGCATATGGTTTTGGGATGCTATTTCATTATTTTGGGAACTGAATGTGGGAATTTGGGATTATATTCTGCATATTATTTAGGATTTCTCTCAAGTCCTGAGTTGCAAAGATGCTTACTCTTTTCCTTTTTGATCCTATAGTGGATTCCTCTTGGTACAAATTATCAACCTGTGAGTTGTAACCACTTTGTCCTTTCTCTATTTGCTAAATAAAAGGGAGTTTTGGAGGGATTCCATTGTGGAAAGGTTGGAGGATCACTGCTCTAGAATTTAATTTAGGCTCAGATTTTGAGTGATCTTACTTTTGAGCTGTCATTAGCTGACGAATGCCAATATTATCACCTTTTTTAAAAAGAGAGAGAAGGATGACTCTGGAAACTGTCAAGGCATCACTCTCCTCTCCATCACTGGGAAGATTCTTGCTCAAATTCTGCTGAACTGACTGCTCCCTCTTGCCAAAGAAATTTTTCCCACGTCTCTCAATGCCCATCAAGAGACACCATGCACTTGATTTTTTTATGGCCCAGAAGATCTAGGGGAAGTGTCAAGAACACCACCAGGAATCCTATATGGCCTTTAATCAATTTGACCAAAGCCTTTGACTCTTAACTGTGAGGCTCTGTGGAAGACCTTACTGAAGTTTGGCTGGCCAGGGAAACATATCACCATCCTAAGACTCTTTCATGAGCAGATGACTGCCTCCATCCTGTGCACTACAGAGTCCTTTGCCATTTGAACTGGCATCAAGCAAGGCTGCATGATTGCACCAATTTTGTTTTCCATCTTTGTTGCTGTTATCAACATGCTTATCTGTGACTCTGCCACGTGGCATTAGCATCAAGTATAGGATGAACAGGAACCTTTTCAATCTTTCCTTCCTCCATGCTGAAACCAAAGTTACATCAGCCTCAGTTGTGGAATTTCAGTACGCTAATGATTGTGCTGTCATTACACATACTGAGGAGGACCTACAAATTCCCCTTAATTGCTTCTCTCAAGCATATCAGTGCTGAGGACTGGCCCCTTAACATCAAAAAAATGAAGATACTTCACCAGTCTGCTCCAGACCAATTAACTCCCCCCCAAAGATCCTCATTGATGGATAGGAGGTGGAGAATGTTGAACACTTTTTGCATACCTTGGCAGCCTTCTCTCAAAGAAGGTCAACATTAACAAGAAGATCCAGTATGGAATCCAATGTGCCAGCTCTGCCTTCAGCAGACTATATTATCATTTGTTCAACTATCACAACATTAGGACTTGAACAAAGCTCTTATTCTACAAGGCTGTGGTAACCCCAACTCTTCTCTATGGCTGTGAAGCTTGGGTGACCTACAGGGACCACCTGAAAAGTCTGGAATGCCTTTACCAGTTCTACTTCCAGAAGATCCTTGGCATAAAGTGGGAGAATTGTTGCAGAAATGCCAGTGTCCTCACAGATGCCAACACCATCGGTATGAAAGCATTGATTATTCAATGTTAGCTGTGGTGGACAGGACACTGTATGTGTGCTTGATGCATATTTTCCAAAACAGCTGCTATACTCCCAACTCAGCCAAGGACAAAGGACAGGTGGGGGCCAAAGGAAACAGTTTAAAGGGCACCCTCATGATGAACATTAGGAAGTGTGGCATTGACACCACAAATTGGGGAAAAACTAGCCTGGGGCAGGGTTGCATGGCAACTCCTTTTGGGAGAAGGTACATCTTACTTAGAGGAAAACAGCCTCTCCCTGGAGATATAAAAATTACGGGAATGAAAGGAAAGGAAACTAGACTAAAAAGTCTGTGGTTTGACCCTCCCTTTAACCATGATGTGACATCTGCCAGAGTCTGCGGTTCTAGGATCAGCCTTCTTAGCCATCAACAGACTCAACCCTTTTACTTGACCCATGACAGTGATCATCCTCGACCATGAGGGATCACTGATGACCTCAGCCAGAAAGATCAGTGAAATCACAGATTTTCTTGATTTTTTTTTTTTTTTTTTTTTTCATATTTCACCATACAGCTGTCTGCTTTCTAATGAAGCCATTCAACTTTAATTAGATTATGCCATAGGCAACAATTGATCCTCTAGATCATGGTGTACACGTATGAGGACGAGTCAGATGCCTGATGAATCCGCTTGTGGATGATGAGCCCAATTTGAGAG